TGTTAGGCCACTTACCCAGTAGCCTGTAAAACAAACGAATATGCTTATCGACTTATCTTTAAAGGAATGAAATAGGTTTCATGTGTTATTACTTTGGGGTGATTAAATCTAATTGGTCTTCGGTCAAAATCTCTGTCAATCKAATTATATCATCTGTCTTCATAGGTGGCTTATACAATTTTTCTTCGATTTTATTGTAAACACAGTGCGAGTAAGCTGTTGAAACATAAATAAAGGCCTAAAGAACAAAATCATTATGAAATTAGAACAATTGTTTTTAATTTAACTCTCGTCTATATAAAAATAAAATGATCTAGTCGGGAAATGTGTCTAAAAATACGCATTTTTATACGAATGATTTAACTATGAAAAAAATACCTTTAAGCTTGTCATTTCTTGTGCAAGCAAGAGAAGATCTCTTGTTCCTCTAATATTTGTATTAACTATATTACGAATATTGTCCAGAAAACGTACGGATGCTGCACTATGAAAAATTAAATCAGTATCTATAATGCGATCGCGGTCCTTCCCTGACAATCCTAAATTTAATAGACTCGTGTCTCCTTCAATCAAAATAATTTTCTTTTCAACATCTTTTTGCTCTCTCTTCAATCTATCAAAAATCTAAAGATATAAATATAAATTGTAATATCGGTGACATCTTTTATTCCTATAATAATAAGTACAAAATATGTAACTTTACTCACAACATCATTGAAATACTCTTTAAATCGAGTTTGCGGATCCTTTTGTTTCTTTGCCCTAACCAGTAAATAAATCGTTGTTATTTCTGGACAACATCTGCAAACCGCAGCAATGGCATTTATAGTACAAGTTTTTAGCGGAAAAATATTTCTTATAAAACAAAACATTATTGTGTCAATGTTTAAATATAAAAGTAAAGAGAGAAGAAGAAAAAGAGAAAAATAAAGAATAATCATTGTTATCTTTAAATACAGGTACTATTAGATAGATATTGTCTGCTGAATTTAATATTTTTTCTAATTTTTTTTTTTTTGCCAAGAAAATAATTTATTTTTTTTATGAAAAAAGCTCCAGGCTTATTTTCCTGTCAAGTAATCTTGCATTCCTTAGGTACAAAAGTTAAAATAATTTATAGACATTAAATTCAAGAAATATTTTTTCTTATTTGTTTCAAAGCATATGAATCTCAAGGTAAATAAAAGTACTAACAACAACTATCCGATTGTACATACAATCCTAATTTATTTAAAATTTATGATGGGAATCTTATAACGAATATACTAATTTAATTGATAACGAGAACATATAGGAAAAATGTTTACCTTAAAAGTTTTTCTACTATAAGCCGTCCTATAAATCCTAAGCCTCCTGTTATAAAAATTTTCTTTCCCGAAAAAAATGTAGCAATTTCACCTCGTTGATTATAATAAATTGGCTCTTCTACCA